ATTTGGAAAGATCTTCTGTCACTGATATAAAATGCATTTTCTGGCTACCTCGGTGAAATCCATAGGCATAACATAGGCATCATTGTGTTCATTGCAAGACTAAGTGGTGTCTTGTTGGAGTGACAGTTTTTTCATTTTCTAGTGAATATTCTAATTAAAAATGTGAAGTAAAAATTAAAATAATTTATCAAAAAGAATCTATATGGACATGTTCCAACCATTTGATTTGCTTTGAAATCCCTCAATTATATTTCTGTAAAATCTCTGAAAATTGTATGCTTTACAGAGACAAAACTGTATTTTCATTCCACAAAACCAATTTTCTATCTGGTTATCTTAACCCATTGCCTCCTTCTTCTATGGTCCTTTCCTTTAACCCATGTATAACAGGTATTGTGAAAAAATAGTTCTGTGTGAACTGACACCACCTTTCTGACATAATCATTCCTCTGGCAACTGCTCAAATCTCTGTGCTCCTCAGGGAAAACAGGTGCTTGTTAGGAACATTCATCATATGTTTTCTGTCACACACAAATTTTAATTTTTAGGATTTTTCTGTTTTTCTACATTGGAAACAGTACACTGGGTTTTAATGTAACCTGAGTTACGAGTGTGAACCTAAGGCTGAGTATGTCAGGCCAGCTAGTGCTGCTGTGATTCTTGCCTTTTTTGTACTGGTATATGTGTCACTTTGAAAGCATTTAGAGAGGCAAATAGGGAGGATTCAAAGGCTGTTGCACATTTTAGCATCACAGACAGAAGGTACTGCTGGCTTATATCTGCTCTAAATTGGCTTTGCCTGCTGCCGCGGAGACCGCTGGTTGGTTTGGTGTGTTTGTAAAATGGGTTTAATTGCCCCGTTGTGTCCTAATCCGGTCATTTCATCACTCTCTTTAGTCAGGTGTCCCGAGATATCGGTGGTTTCGGGGGGTTTCCTGGCTCACTTGCCTTCCGGCAGCCGCTGCCTGAGCCCCAGGCGCAGCGGTGATTTCAGGGATGCGTCGGGCAGGGGCAGTGCGGGACTCCCGGGGCTCTGTGCGGTTCTGGGGTGCCCTGTGCCTCGCTCCGGAGCCCTGACCCTGCTCAGGGGGTGCCAGGCCCTGCTGTCCCCACAGGTCACCCTGGGGAGGGACGGCTGAGCTTGGGGCAGCAGAGGAGGGGCCACAGTGTCCCAGGGCGAGCTCGCCTTGTTTGTGTCCCTTCTGCCGACCCAGCCCGCAGCTCCTACGGATTTAGGGAAGGGGTGCTTTAGCATCCTTTCATATCCGAGTCCATTTTTCGCATGCCTTCCCACAGTCACAGCTGTGTCAAACGCAGTAATTTCCCTGTACCACCACGGCATTTTCGTTTTCTTGTCCTTTTGTAGAACTGCCCATAGCAGATGCTGCTCTAATCCTTTCAAAGCACTTTGTGAAGATAGTGAAGGCACTCGGGGATAATCTCTGTGAAGCCACTAAATTGGTCACCACCAGAGCACCGAGAGACGTGAAACTAGGCTCCTGTAATCTGCAGAGGGAGCCTTTCTCTCGTTTGGAAGCACGGTGAGCTGCAGACCCACCAAACAAACCACAGCAGTTTGCAAAGCCTCTGTTCTTCACTGGAGGATGCCACCAGAGGGAGGGAGAAAACTGCATGCCAGTCAAGGCATTAATCTCTCATAGTGTGTGATGACCGGGGTGGGGGGAAAACAATCATCAAAAAGGATGCTTAACCATGTAGAGCAGTTAACTCAGATTTCTTTTTTTTCCTTAAACACAAAAAAAAATTATTTTTTTTTTATCTCTTTCTTCCTTCTCACTATTATTACAAGGGATAAGGCTTGGCAGAAGACTGTTTCATTGAAATGTAAAGTTGAAGTGGCAATGGAGCTGTGGTACCTCTATGAAGCCAGAAGAAACTCACAGCTGGGCAAAACCAAAATTCAAGTTCAGGGTATCAGGGCAAATAATATAACTTGTCTTTTATTTTGGCAAAGAGGAATAATTAGCATTGTTACTTATTACTATTTAAAGCACTTATGCCCAGAGAGGTCATATTTATGTAAACAATACAGTTCCCTCGTATGAAAACCCCTCTCTGCTGGTTGTCCCTCTCCCTGTTTAATCAAAATAGGAGGAACTAGCACTAATGTGACAACAGACGCCAAACTCAGACTTGGAAGTCCAGGCCTGTGTCAGATGCCATGGAAAACTGCTTGTGCACAAAGGGAAGTGGTTAGCAAGCATGCTGTGCCACCTCAGCACTGCCTGTGGTCAATACCCGCTATGCTTGCCATGAGTGTGGATTCCTGCAGGGTGGGAAACAACAGCCTGTCCCAGGACACCTGGCTGCACAGAAGGGACCTGCGCGGTGTGAGGAATGCCTCATTGCAGGGAAACACCTGGGGAGCTTTCCTCTTCACTCTCACTAAGATGAGGAGTCTTGTCCAGGAGCCTTGGACTTGTCCCACAAATGGGACAAGTTGTGTTGCTGTTTCATTTCCAGCAAGAGAGTAGAGGGAGCATGGACTGGGTTTCTGCCCAGTGTGAAGTGTCATCCTTTTGTACGTCTTTCGGTAGTTGATAAAATACATTCCAATGAAGGCATGTGCATTCATGAATGGAGATTTTGTGATGGATTCTATGCTGTGGACGTCTTCTCTGACCCAAGGTCTTTGTCCTGAAAGTAAGTGATATTGCTGTGCTTTGTTATGGGCCTTCTTGAGCATTTGTGAATGTCCGTGGGCATTGCCTTCAGCAAGAACCCTATCCCTCCCCTCCATCTGAGCAGCGAGCTGATCCTCTCACAGGCGGATAACTGTCTAGAAATGGCTGCTGCAGCTCATTGCTAAAATGCGTGATTGTGCTCATGTTCCCTGGGAAAGCATCCAGGCCTTTGCTGGGGACCCAGAGTTCCCAAACAGCGACCTCAGAGAGCAGCACCACAGCAGAGAAAAGGCCACGTGTTCTGGGCTGTGGCGATGTGCCCCAGGGAAGACAAAGAGTTCCATTGTCCCACCCCAAACCCCTTGTGAAGGGCGGCCCAGGAGTTCTGATTAGGTTGAGTCCCTGGGGGGTTCTCCCTTGCTGTGTTTCTAGTGGTCCCTGACCCTGAACTCCACCCTCAAGGGTGGAGACCCTTAAGAGTTCTGTCCCTCAACAACCCCTGCTCGGCCTCTGTTCGGGGCTCTGTGTTCTGGACCTGACTTTGTTCCCATGCTGAATAAATGCTTTCATGAACCAGGAGCCCGTCTCGTTGGTGCTCTGTGCTGGTCCCCAGAATCCTGCTGCTTCCCTGGACGAGATCCTGAAGTTGCAGACTGCAACACTGGGCACGTCAGACAGCCTCATGAGAGATGTGTGCATGGTCAAGAGATGCCTGCAGTTAGGTGGGGTGGGAATATTGGAGCCAACCTGGAACCATTGTGGACACACAGCAGTGAAGGCCTTTGGCCTAAAGAACACTGCTAGGACCATTTTTGATCACTGAGCTGGTAAGTCTTGGTCACTCCACCACAGTCTGCCAAGCAGTGAACTTTAGGAAGCTTGTCAGGGTTCAGCTCCAGCTGTCTGTGGATAGATCTCACAAGGAGTCAGGAGGTGGGCTGTGGCAAGCGGCTGGGAAAATCAGGCCTGCAGAAATGTGATCTGTAGGAGCTGCCAGACCCATCCTGCAGACTTTAGGTTGGAGGAAGTGAGAGCAGCAGTCCAGTGCTGGGTACAAGAGTGAGACAAGTCAAGCTAGCAACCCTTGCAAGGCACTTTGCTTGAAGCGAGTGTGTCCTCGCCTTTAGCAGGAAGGTTTCTCTCTTTCATGACAACATGGTTGTGTCTTCCTCCTCACTGTAGATCGGTGCTCTCCCCTTCCATTCTTGTCACATTACCTTTATTCCCCTCCCTTGTGGTTCCACTCCCATAACGAACACAAGGAAAGCTTGACAGGAGCAGTCAGTCTGCTCCAGGAAGGACAAGTTCAGCCTGTGGACAGGGGAGATTCACAGTGATGTGCTCTGCTTCCTTCAGCTGGGTCCCACCACTGGGTCCAGTTTGCTGTCCAGGGTGAGAAGGGAAAAGCCAGTGCTAGACAGGCACAGGGATTTCAGTGCAGTGAAAATGTGTTGCTCACCAGAAAACCTTGCTGCTCCAGATGAATTAATTTAGACTCAAGTTTTTTAGTTATGGCTACAATCTGATTGGTAAGAGAGGCCGTGTCTAAACTACAATCATTGATACCTCAGAAAAGACTAAAAGTATTCCTGTCTAACTCAAATCCCATGCACTTTAACAAAACAAAATCTCGTTTTTTCAACAGTATGGGAAAAATCCCACATCATACTTGGTGCTTACTCCAAGACTGGAGGGTACTTAGCAGTCTAAATATATGATCCGAAGTGCTTAAATTTTTTTTCAACCTGTTCTGGAAATTATCTTCCCTTCTTTTTAAATTAACAACTACCCCACTGGTAAAGTAAGTTAATAGATTATTTTTTATGCTACGTTAAAGTCACATTCTCAGGTGGTGACACCTCCCTGATTTTTTTCACTGTGCCATTTTTTACTTTGTGTGAGATTTTTCCTGAATTTCATTTGAACTAAAATTCCGCTCATCTTTAATGAAGGAAAAAATGAAAGTACAGCTAGCTGAGCAGCGTATCAGTATGGTGTGGGTGTGCCTGTGAGCCTGTAGGTTATATGGTGTCACCTTATTTTATTAAAGGAAGTTGTCTCCTTTGTAAGATACACGCTCTTCATTACAGATTTTGCACATAGCAGTAATGAGGATAGAAGGAAATCTTCTGTCTTTTGCTGGCCACAGGTTCACAGGCTGTATTAATAGATAGGATTAGTGAAGAAGAATAGGTCAGAAGGCTGCAAAGCTCCTGTCCCTTGAGATTTCCTTCTTTAGATCATTAGTCTTATTGAGAGCTCCCTTGAATACAGTGAGCAGAAACTGAGGAAAAGGCTGGAACCATTTTATTCACCGGGGCGTTCTGGGGAAGGGTGATTTCTGGGCCAGAAGCTCCACTGAAAATGTCTGTCCAGTTTTCCGCACAGGCACCCTGGAGGAACAACAACATCAGTTTTCTGACCAGAGAGGCAGCTGTAACAGAGCAAGGAGAGACAATCATAGGTTTCTACCTGTTGGCTTTAGGTAGGTATTTGGCTTGAGTGTGAAAGGAAACTTTTAAATAGATGTTTTTATCAAATTCCAAGTGATTCATTTGGGGTTTATCCCTAATGGAACACAATGGGAGAAAATGTAACTTCTTTTCCAGCAATTGCAAGATCAGAGAGGTACAGCTTGCTTTTGTTAAAAAAGAGATTTATAATCAATGCAGAAATCTTGAGGGAAAATAAATAGTCAAGCCTGTAAACTTTCAACTAATGTTCATTAAGCTTAATATGTGAGGAGATAAAAGAAGTACCTTATCAAAAGTACACGATCATTCTGTGTCTTCCTGTGTTTTAGTAGCACTGAAAAAATGTCCCCTGATTTTCAGAGTTGTAGCTGTTGACAGTCAGTTGGCATCCTACAAACATCTGGAGAGTCACAAAATATATTTTGTGGTTCTTAATTTTAATTGTTTAATTGTACTGTTCTTGCTTTAAATGCTGGATGCATATAGAAATTGACTTCTGCAAACAGGATCTAAGAAAGATCTAGGTACTGGAACCTTATCCTGTGTTAGTCACAATATCAAGTGTTTCTTTTAGTTCTGCTGCAAGACAGATATTTTAAGTGTATAACAGGGATTTGAAAATGGCACTCAGTATAAATGCACTCTGATACCACTGAAATTTTGTTTTGTTTGCTTAAATATTAACTATTTTGGGCAGGCTTAAATTTCAAAGAAATTTCAGAGTGCAAGCATGCTAGGTAATAAAAAATTTCAACCATAGAACCTCACAGAAAAATAGAAAAAAATTAGCTTTTATTAAATCTGTTCTTCTAAATAGCATGTACAAAAATGTTTCTGTTTTTAAATGATTGGCCTAAAAGATTTTTTTTATCCTAAACTTATTACATATTTCAATTAACTTATTAGCCCTCTGCTTACGCTTGACAAAGGCCTGTGGAAGTTATAATGTTAAATGCTAAGTATTTTAATATGTTTACATAAGACTTTCTTTTTTTTATTGTGCTTAGAACAAAACCAGAGATTCTAGTAGAAATATGTATGGCTTCTATCTTAGGAGAGCTGATTAGGAGAGTGGTTGTATAGTAAATCAGAGGTACTCCAATTTATCCCCTGTCTGTTCACATCTGCATATCCCCTTGTGAATGGCTGGGAAATGGCTGCACCACCAGCTAAAGAATTAAGCAGTTGCACTTAAGACTAGAAAGAACATCTTAGGTCAGCAAGGCCAATCCCCTGCTGAGACAATGTATAATCTCATTTATACAGCTATATGCTCCCTCATATAACTGGCTAGGGATTTTTTTGGTGTCGTTATCACTCTTCCAATTGAAATTATGTTCAAGATTTTTTTCTCTGTTGGATAGGCACCTTCGCCTAAATTCTTAACTAAAGTGATCACGGCAGCTTTATACAATTTTTGGTCACTCCTTTTAATTGAAATATTTTTTTTGCCTGCAAATGACATCCTACGGTCAATCTATGCTCCTGAAGGAGCATTCCTTGAGGTCAGCCTCTGTTTTCTTATATTAAGCAATTGAGTGAATTTTATTTTTATGATTGTGGGGGCAGGGGGTAATTATATTTATTTATCTCCTCTCATAATATGTTTTCCCCTTTTCCCCTGTCATCCCAGCAGCCTTATAGCCAGGACTGAATACAGCTTCCAAACAAGGTCTTGCCATCACTATTCATACTCATATTTGCACTCTATCAGCTCTACTGATCCCGCCCAGTATTGCCTCTGCACCACACTGGTAGTCCAAACTTCTTCCATCAATGAACCAGCAGAGATCTTCTCCTCTGATGCTTCCTGGTAGTGACCTCACATCTTCTAGCAAATAGCTAGGTGCCTGAGCCTTTAGGCTATTTGGGCTTGATTTCATATCCTTCAGCCAAGCTTACAATTGCTTTGCATGTCATAGCTGCTGTTCTTGAAACTTGCCTCAAGATTCAAAACTCAAGTTCCTTTTCCTGGAGAGTATGTACAACCAGCAGTAGCACTCCTCCAAGTTAAGTGTAGCGTAGATCTGGTTAAAAATTGATGGATGTGGGTATACCTTTTGGAAATAACTTTTGAAAAGGTCTCTTAGTCATACATAAATCAGGAAAGTCCTAATTTCTTTTCTCCTCAAAGGTCTACCGTCACTCTCCTGCAAGCACCAGCCACAGCAATTTATAGTTATTAGTTTTATGTACACCAATAACTCGTTCTATCCAGGGAGCTGCGATGTGGCAGAACAAGTTCTCTGTCATACATTCATCCTCTTGCCCTTCTGGCAGCAGAGAAAAAAGGCCAGTCCATGCACTAGCTTCCTGTACCTCTGGTGCTTTAGGGGTCTGGGAAGACAATCTACATTTGCAGGAGTCTGTGGATACTTCCTTACACAAAACCCCAAAGATGTTCATATTTGATACTCTTGGGGTTTGGATGCCTTGGAAAATGGCTTCAGTGATTACACTTCCGTGGTTATTAAATGGTATTTTTCTCTTGAATCTGTGTAGGGCAGTGCAGCTTCTTGCAAATTCTGATGTATTTTTCCAAAACAAAAGAGTATGTATTTGATTGGTATTAGCATTTTTCCAGAAGATGGGGTTCCCCTGAACTGCCTCACCTTCACGAGATCAAGTCCTAAAAACCTAACTATATTTGGCCAAGTCTTCCCAGAGTCACACATCTTGACAGAGGACATGAATGTCCAAGAACCACGATCTAACACCTTTTGCTGAGATTCTCACAGGTCACAGGTAGCACAGCTGTCATTTGTGACAGACAGGGCACTGATGTCCATGTTGTATGTGGTACAGCAGCCAGGCACTTTTGGATCCAGATGAGAGGTCCTCAGCACCCTGCAGGGAAGCCTGATCACGGTGGTGTGGCACACTGACAGCACGAGCAAACCAGCAGGAAGTGCGTGGTGCATTTTGCAAATGCCGATGGACATCAAGATCACTGCACTGCTTCTTGACACCCAAGCCACTGTTCTATCATTCTCCTTGCCAATGCTTTGGCCAGGGGACCAGCAAAGTGGGGGGGGAGGTGCAATGCCCATCCGACAGCAGTGATCCATTCTTAGAGGGACAATCTGCAAGTGATAGCGACCTTACCCTGCGCCAGGTCACCTGCGTCAGCATCCTCTTTCTGAAGGCAGCACTCTGCTCCCATCCTTCCCTTCAATGAGCTCAGAACTGTCTCTAACAGACAGGTGAAAGCTTGTCCTGCTGCTGGGATTACATCTGACCCCTTTTTGCCTATGCTATAAGTGGTGCAGTACTGCATCATTCTACAGTTTAAATTACAAGGTGCAATTTAAAAGCACTGCCCACTGCTGCTGGATGCTAGACATGGGGGAAAAATATAAAGCATTTTTTGCTTCATAATTATTAACTGGAATTCTTAAGTTGGTTTTTTTTCCTGCATTTATACACAGTTTGTTCTCTATTTGTTTCCCCTAGTTCCACATTTAACTGAGCCTGTTAGAGTAAATACAAGGCATAAAAGGAAATTATAAGTCAGTAGGAGAGAGTACTTATTAGAGAACAAATTCTGACTTTTTGGAGTGCTTCCATCAGAAAGGCATGCTGAGTGCATTACCAATCCCATCAGAACAGACCACAAGATCCAAACATGCCTTTAAAAGGCACACACTTCCGAATGGCAATAGTAAACTGTTACTTGACAAGTGACAGAATGAGTGTTATTTCGGGATTTTGTTTGACAGATAAATCTGAGAAGGTGGGAAAGGAAACAAGCTATTCACAGAACATTCATCCCCAAAATGATTGCATTTATTGAACAAATAATCTCTCCATGCTTTGTCAAGTCTAAAACAAGATGACTCTTCTCCTTCCTGCCAGAACTGGCAATATGCCCTGGACAGGATATTGTGTGTGTATAATTGGCAGTGAAGACTGAAAACAGAGTAGGGTCACTTCACAGTTGCAATAGTTAATGACAGCTTTGCAAATTCTCTGGATTTTATCACTGTTTTAATTAAAGTTTTCTGGGCGGAAAATCTTTTGCAGCAAGCTCTTCTGATAGGCATTTATGCTTCTGTATATGTAGTTGTGTAAGTAACTGATTTCATTCATGCCTGCTCTGCATTAAGATGCTCAATCCAGTTCCTGTCCTAGAGAAAGGCTATTTGCTGAGGAAAGAGCCTAGTTTGTCTTGTGATGCCGAGCCTCACCTTTTGCTCTCATTTCTTGAATTCTTCCACTTAAGGGATTCATATATATTTTAAACTGCATATGGCTGAGTTGCAACACCCATTTTTCTGTTTCAGTCTTGCCAAGTTTTACAAGAAAAGGCCGTGCAACAATGTCTAACAAGAGAAAGTCTAAGTAGAAAGCATAATAACCTATTTTGGCTGGGTACAGGTGAACTAATCTATTGGAAATGTGGATGACCAGCTCAGAGCTACAAATTCACTTGTGCCAAATTTAGTTCTCCAGAAAGAATGTTAACAATGAAACTGTATGCAACCTCAGCTGCTTATTGCTTGTTCAAAGAGCATCTCAGGTACATGAGAGAAAAACAGGGCATGTCTGAATGCACAGGCTTGAGTGATTTGATAGAAATATTTGTAAAATCATAACTTATTTTTTCAATATTCTTGGATTTAATTTCAGTGTTGTTCTCAGTTGTCTTCAGCAGAAAGATTTTCAGTCTCCTTAGTGACTCTTTCTGGCTACTTTTCTGGTGCTTTCTTTGCACAGGCTGGTGGGCATCACACTGACACAGGAGTTTGTTAATAGCAGAAGGGCTTCCAAGCAAGCTGACTTTCACCAGCTTGCTTGGCAGCTTGCCTGTACCTCCCCAAGAAATCATGGATAACAGCACCAGATTCCCTTGTGGAGTGCTTTTGGTATCTGTGGATTAAAATGCTCTCTTAGGGAGTGTTGTTCCAGGAGAAGGATTACTACTGAATTATATAGGGGTGATACGTTTTTAATACTGATGTCCATCCTATTCCTCCTACCTCACTATGTTTGCAAAACTACTTCAGTAGTTGCATATTACTTGTGTATTTTGCCATGTCAGAAGATTCAGCATCTCTCTGATGAACAACCTGTTTCAGACTGTGCTTATGGGAAAGATATGGTGATCCCTCTGAACCCTATGCTGGGTGACAGTGCTCAGTTTCTACCTGGCTGCTATTTTTTTTCTCTCTTGCCACATTTTGACCTCAGTTTAAATCTTTATTCACCAGGATTGCCTTAGTATGTTTGGTTTTTGGTTTGGGGTTTCTTCTGCATTTTGGTTTGGGGTTTCTTCTGCATACTCTTATGGGTGAACATTAGTGACAGCTTGCAAAAGATGGAACAAGTTCCCTCAGTTGTTTCTTTTCTATCTTCTGCTTTACTGAGATGAGGCCTGGTAACATGGAGGCACTTCAAAGTTCAGAAGTTTCTTTCTGGGCTCTTGATCTACCTTTAATATATAAAGGTATATATTATATATTTATTAATATATAAAGGTATATATAGAGGTAAGGTCCTCTGATGTCCCCTGATGCACACACCACCTGCAGTGCAGCTGAGGTCTCTGCTCTCACTGAGAGTGTCAGAGCTATTGCTGTGCTTCCCTTGCATTTTTGACCTTCTTCCCTGCTAAGCTGCCAAGGCAGGGAGGGAGAGGGGTTGTTTGGTTTGAGGCATTCTGTTGGTTGGGTGATTTTCTGTTTTGGGGTGTCTGTTTGGGGTTTTTTAAGTCAATCAGTCAATACAGACAACAACCCAGACTAGCACTGGTATCTGATGGCACAGAGAACCAGTGTCCCATAGTCACCATTCTGGTTGACACCACTTTTATGTGACCACTGATTCTGTTACTGCATGGTTTACTAAGAATTGATTTTCTTCCATTTCTTTTTTTTAAAAATCCAAATTAGTATTGTCTACTACCCAGGCTGACCATTTTAGGGACTGGTTATGCCAGTGCAGATTCTCCACTGCTGTGCTGAAAAGGACTGTGCCTACATGCAGAAATCATACTTGCTCTTATCTCCCTCAATTCTTCCCACATCTCCAACCTTAGTCTGTGAATGTAGCTCCCAGAGATTATCACAAGTACTGTGTCTCTCTCACCTCTCATTGCTCTAAAATGTGCAGTGTTGTCTGATGCGATGTTTTGCTCAAGTTCTTCCTTAAGACACTTTAACTGAAAACTCCCTTACCCTCCAGGCTAGGGGGAATTTGCTCTGTAAATCCCAGGAAGGGCAGGTGTCTGACACTGCAGGTAGCCTTCCTGTGCATTACACTGAACTGGCAAAGTTTTGCTATTTACAAAGGCAGTTCCGTTTTGTTTTGTCTGTCATTTTAGCACTATGTCTTCATGTGGACAGGGAAAAATATTTCATACCTACTGCCTTGATAGCTGTCTTACCTTGCAGAGGGTAGAACCAACATACACAAACAGCACAACTGCTGTGCTGGCGTTGAAGGCTATCCTCATTAATTCCCAAATCCCTCCTTCCCCAGTGCCCTGCTCTGCCTATAGGTATTATAGGTATTTATAATAACTAGACACAAACAAAAGTCAGAAAATCCCTGAGTTAAAGTGTATGCAGTTGTTTAAAACAAGACTTGATTGAGAAACATTGTCACCTAGTGGCCAGAATGAGATATATTTATTATTGCTGACCTTGTAACAAGGTATATATAAAATGTATCTGTATATCTCAGTGTATCATTGCACCAGTGGCTATTTCTGGTCAATACCATATGCTGACATTTCAGCTCTTCCCAGTTCAAAGGCTCTTCAGTAAACCTTGTGCATTTACTAAACAAGGCAGAGCAGCAGCAGCTTGGCAATGCTGCATAGAAAAACTGTTAAAAGTCAATTGCTCCACAGAAGAAGCAGTTCATAGAGCCATACAGAGTCTGTCCTGTCAACCACCTTCCTCCCACTCCAGAGTACCCAGGGCACCTCACTGGAGGTATCTGCCCAATCTCTTTCTTTACAGAACAGGTGCCTTGCTCTTTGGCATTTCAACTCCTGAGACTCCCACGTGGCCTGGAGATTGAGAGGTAATTTCCTCCCTTCCTAGCCACAGCAGCGTGGCAGTGAAGTTCTGGATTCTTCAGGTGGAAGTAGTGCTTCCTGAAGGAAGCCAGCTGCCCTCTTGCTACAGCATTAAACCTATCAGCCATCTTTCATCACACAGATTCCTTTGAATATCCAGAGATGTTGTGCAGTGCCATCATGTCACATCCCCCTTTTTTGTGTTTGTTCATCTCTTGCCGTGCCAATATGCAGCAGCCTCACTCTGGGGTATCTACAGCTTGTGCCTGGGCAGAGGGCTGGGGGTCAGCGCTTTTCTCCCTCAGCTGGGAATACTGGAACCTGGCATAAGCCACCAAGGTTTTGCATTCCTTATCCTGTCATAGGCAGCAGACACTCAAAAGAGGTCATGCCTTGCTCTGCCTTGCCAAGGTAAAGTGAGGCCATCAATGTCACAGGTGGCAGAGCTGGTTCGTGGGATAGATGCAGGAGCCAGCAGGGAGCCAGGGCTGCCTGACATGCTGCTCAGCCCTCCACTCCCTTCACTGACTAAGCCACATTTTCAACACTGAACCTGACACTTCCCACTATCCTTTCTGCTAAAAGTCATTCATCTCTCCACATCTAATTTCAAAAACTGGGATGCAAGCTACCAGGGTCTTGCACTGATGGGCAGAGCAATAGCTGTGGACATATGGAAACTCTAGGTCTCTCCAGTAGAGTAAGTGTCTGATTTTCACCAGCTTTACAGTTATCTCCCTTGTGTTTTGCTCACATACTTAGACACTTAGCAGTCAGACATCTCTGTTCCTGGAGAGCAAGAGAGAATGTAACTTTCTGTAAAATTGAATAAAAGACACTTTGAACTTCTATTCCAAATATTGTCTTCATATGGATTATCATGTGCACTACTGAAAAGTATTCCCATCTGGAACAGACTTTGCTGCAAGGATTGTTCTAGATTGTTCTAAGAGAAGAAACCTAGTTGTATGAGCAGCACTTTTCTAAGGAGAACTGATGAAGCAGCTCTCTGGCTACATGCATGAACTTTCTGTATCCATTATTGTATATGAAGAACTTAAACAGCTGCAGATTTTGGCGGATTTTTTGTAGTTTCTGCTCCACTCTACTGATTTTTCTTCCTTCCTATTTTTCCCAGCTGTAACACTTATGAGTTTCATCTATCCACTTAAGGAAAAAAACTTAAGTAAAAAAATCCACTTTAGGCCCTTAAACAGGGCATCTTCAATAGGTGTAGCAGCAGCTCTTTGTGTTTGTTCTGTTTTATTGCTCCACTCAATTACTCAGTTGCTCCTACTTCTGAAATGTACCCAGCTGCTCAAAAAGGTTTCATGCATAGTTTTCTAGTGGATAATCTGATTTAATATGCTTCTAATGGAACAAAACGGTATTTTAGAAGATACATCATACATTTACGCACTCAACATCCTCTTTATTTGCTCTTTGATTTCATAGAATCATAGAATGGACTGAGCTGGAAGGGACTTTAAAGATCAGCAAGTTCCAAGGATTTAATTTTTTTTTTTCCAGGTTGGTTGTCTTGGTTTGGAAACAGCATTGTGATTTTTGTCCTGTATAAACAAAGACATCTCCTGCAGCCTACCGACTACCTCACATTTAACTTGGCAGTGTCAGACGCCAGTATCTCTGTGTTTGGTTATTCACGGGGCATCATTGAAATCTTCAATGTCTTCAGAGATGATGGATTCATTATCACGTCAATATGGACTTGCCAGGTAAGACTGGATTACACTTAATTAGACAAAAGACATGTAGCTATTTCTGGGGGTGTGCTGTATATAAATAACCAGACAGCACCCAAAGAATGAAGGGAGGTAGTCACTGACCTTTCAAAAGGACAGTGTTCTCTTTTGTTGCACCTAAAAATCTGTGCATTTGATCTGTGCTTCACCAATTTTCAGTGGGGTTTTTTTGTGTATTTGCAATAGTTCTTACTAGTTTTGGATTTTTTTTTAATTCATGTCAGGGATCACACTCACGTTAGAAAATCAAGTCATAGTCTGTGCTTGTCTTCAGGTCACCTGAAGCCAACCTGGCTGTTGCTTTAAGCCAAACATTAGAGTGCCTGTGTTGACTCCTGCTTGATAAAGCATGTAGAGCCTCCACACAACTTCTGGGCACACCCCTACATTTTAGCATGCAACTTTTTGCACTAACTCAGTTGTAACTCTTCAATCACACTCCTAAACTCTCGGTTAATTCATTGCCTGTGGTGGAATGAGTGATTTAACTTTATGGCACAGTCATCCCTGATCTTGGAGGCAGCTTTTTGTTGGAGTACTCGGAAAAAGTTATTATTGTTAATTCTGAAACATACCTGTGTGGACAGAATATTAATGCTCCCCATGGACAGATAGGCACAAAACTGCCTCCCTGATGCTTTCAGCAACCTCTGTGAGAAAGATTATACTCTGTTTCATCAGGGAATCAAAAATCTGAAAATGACAGGATAGCCTACGGCAAGGTGTAAGAAAGATCATGATGAAGGAAAAGGGAGAGAGAAATAATCCTCTTTTCTTGCAGATTTGGTTTTTTTAAGGAGGAAGTTGAGCTATTGTGCAACACAGATGAAAGAACATTTACAGGTCATATCCCTTCCATATCAATGAAAAGGTTCAGTTTAAGCAGAGATGAAGACTTCCTGTAGGAGACTGATTAACCTAGGAGCTGTAGCTTGATCTAAAAAATTATTATTTTATTGTTTGAAGTGTATGTCCATAGTCATTTGGCAGAACAGGATTTATCAAAATGAAGCTAATTATTTCCTCAGCAAAATCACGCTCTTTCTCGAATAAGTTCACCTACAGTTGCAATCTAAAGTCTGTTGAGTAGAAACTTTGAATTTTTTTATTAATGGAAAACTTGAAATCATCAGATAAATAAATACATACCTGAAAACTGTAAAATTTGCATCCATACTCAGAATTAAACAGATGCATATTTTCCCCCTCTTTCAAGGAAGGTTGGAGCTATGACTGAGAAAAGAAAGATAAAATCTGCATCTGCAGGTTCAGTTCTAGCTTTTTTGCAGATTTCCTGTGTAAGACAGGATAAGCCATTCAGTGTGAAATCTTGACCCAAGGTCAGCAGCGTAACTTAATGCTTACAACTCCCAAGGCTGAAAGAGGTAGCAAGCTCTTTCAGAGCCCTGTCTGTACTGTGGCTGCTTTTTTTGGGGGGCTGTATAGAACAGCACACAGAGGAATTGGCAAGGAATGGCACACTGGGTCTGTGCATCTTGGTCTGCATGGGAACTTGTGTCATCAACCTTACAGATTTCTTTCATGATGCTTCTGCCTGAGAAGCCCTCTTTGGCTGACTTGGAGCTACTAAGTCTTGTCATGATGATCTGACCTGGGATAGAGGGGTGCTTGAACTTTGTAAGGTGGATGCATGCCTAATCTTGCTGTGCTTGAACTGCCTTTTCAAGGGCAGAAGTGGTCCATAACATTTATAGGGTACCCAGATAAACACTGGCTCAGGTTTGTTGGTCAGGGTGTTTTAAGTAATTTGGGTTTGGGTCTTTTTGTTTTAAAGACTACTCATTTGTGAAATTTGGATATCAAGCAAAGTTTCAAGGTTTGGGGATCCAAAGATTTTTTGTGGGACACTAATAACGTATTGGCTTTTCTTAACACTCTGATCTACAAAATATTAAAGTTTCTGCTTTGGTAGTCCTCTGTAGGCTCTAGAGGGTAACATTAACCATTCAAAATATGAATTTGTACAGTAATTAATACCAATTAAAAATTAATGGTAATCTGGAAAAGTCAATTTGTGCTTTGAATTAAGTTTGGATTTGTTGTGGCTTGTTGAGTGGTCAAGCTGGTTACGGCTTGTTGAGAAAAAATCATGTAGGATTCCTGTTTCCATCAAGATCTTGTTCTGTCTTGGGGAACTTCAAAAACATGTGTAAACCCTGACATCCATCTTCTTGATTAATAAACTTGACAAAACAGAAGCCAGTGATGAAAAAATAGGTTATGGAAATAGAGTGGCTTCTAGATTCTAGCAAGAATATTGTGCAGAAATAGCAGGAAGCTTCTGTGCATAAAAAAGAGATGTGAAAATTTCCACGTGTGTGTGGACAGCCAGCACAAAGGTAATTCTGAAATGTTTAATGTTGAATAGCAATAGTGTCTAGATTGCTGTAGTCTGAATTTGTAGTCTTACTAGAAGGGATCTCACAGGAAGAACATGAGGAATGAGGACCTTGTGCCACAAAGGTAAAGCCCATGCTTTCTGTTGGGACCCACTGAAGTCAGTGTCTCTTGCTCCCTGCATGCACTCAGGCTTCTCTGCAAGTAGCTGGGGTGGCACTTTGCATACATGAGCATGGCTCTTTCCTTAGCAGGGCCCAGGTGCTTTCCCTTACCTGGTTTGTTTTGCCAAGTCCAGAGGACAGCTTTACTTGGCTTTCTGTTGTTGTATGGTTCACTACACATTTGCTCCTATTGATCAGTCAGCTTTTGCTGTCAGGTATGCTTAGGGAAATTTTATTTTCCCAAGCTAGCCTGTCATTTCTGTTTATGAAGAAACTTCATGAGCTCACCCCACTTAATCCACCTAACTATTTTGTTTTCCTCTGACTTGGGTCTCCTTCTGTGCCCTCAGGTAACATTTCTCAACATTCAGGTTCACCGTCCTTGGCTGCTCAGGTTGAAGGGAGTGGGGGACAGACAGACAAAGAGTACTTCTCTCAAAACAATCTAGACTTTGAAAACTCTCTGTAATAAAAGATATATCTCCAGCAACAAGGATCATCTCACTGCATACCTGCTGAAAGGGACAGAGAGGAGTTCTCCTGTTCTCCTCCTCTGTATGGAAGAAACAACACCTTTCTTTCCCATGATGAACATTATTTTTTGAGTCTGACAGGGCTCGTCTCTCAGGAATGAGGTTACATGGTACATCTGTATCCAAATGCTGCCTCTGCTGAATGCTCTGTACAAATAACAGTTTTCCAATGGTGGGTTTTGGAATCTGCTTTCACTTTTATACTTCTGCTCTACCACTGTCTCATTCCTGAACTGGACAGAAGAAGGACAGTCAGATTCTGGCACATCCATTTTTTACCCTCTCCCAATATGATCAGTAAGTAAACTGGTTCATATGGTAAATTTTAGGTCAGGGAATGTAACCCAGTGACCAAGAGCCATCTGTTCCCCCATTGACCATATTCCTAGTGAAAAGCTATCTCAGAATATATTTTTGTCCTTCACAAACTTTTTTTATTTGTATGTTCTGCTGAACCAGAAGTTGCACTGAAACCTGTAAGTAACATTGTGTGCAAATGTTCTTACATGTGGGAAGTAGAGAAATACTCATTCTCAAATGACAGAAAGTTTTTCATCTATTTTTTAATCACGTGGCAAATACATCAAAAGATGCAGACTTCAGGAGGTCTCTAAATACAGGGAAAGGATAAGTTCAGATAACCTCTCTGAATTCAATAGGTACACTGCAGTCATGTCTGACTGAAAACAAGAATGGACTATGGAGTGCCTTAGAATTTGAAATCCTTCATAATCCTGGTACTTCAGTTTACATTTGTTTCCAGTAGTTCACTTTTCTAAATTTTTAAATTATTTTTGATAATACAGATTGGTTATCTAAACATCAATTTTTCAAGCATTTAAAGGTTTTATGATGAGAACAAAGAAAACTGACTGTTCTTACCATGTGCTCCCTCTGTTGGCATAGGCCTCTTTTAAAAAACATGTCTTATTTCTGACTGTTTCTTACGTGTAAGATGTGTGTGGGCTGTGCACCCCAGAGCACAGGGTGGTTATCTCCATGTCACAGTACTGTCATGGACATACCCCCTGTCCCTGACGTGCTGACTGACGCTGTTACCACAGATGCACTCACCTCACTGTCAGCCTAGGTATTCCCAGTCCATCTGGCCAGCCAGATGGTGCCAGAGCATCCCCAGCAGATCTGTCCCTGCACAGAAGAGGCCTCTGGACCTTTTAAGAAAGAAAAAAAAAAAAAATCCACCTTGAGGTCTTAGCACCAGAGTAGCTTGTGTGACAGAATCCAGCCCCCACTGACCCTGTCCCTACAGCCTGCCCTCGCCATCACAAGTGCCAGCCTTCAAGGACCTGTCTTCAGCCTCACAAAGCTGCTTCGTGTTGTGCAGAATGATAAAGACACTGAGGGGAGCAGAAGAGAGAGAAATGACTCTTTCATCCTGCTACTGGGTTTGCTACAAAGCAGGGAGGAAGTCTGGTTTTGAATCCTGCAGTGCTTCCATGCTTCACACAGCGCTTCTTTATTCCTGTCTGGCATATCCTGGACAGAAGCACATGGCAATGTGGTGGTCAGAAGTAAGCCCCACAATGCACACAGGTATTGTTGTACTCTGTTAGCCCTAATATACTCATGCACATTTTGCCTGACAGCACCAGATCTGTGCATCCCAGAAGGGCATGGTGTGGCCAGAAAGCTAAAAATTGTCTGGAAGCACCAGACTTAGTGTGTATGCACTGAGGAGTAAGCAGCCCGTAGATGGCTGGGATTTCTTGAACTTTAGCAGATTTTCCAGATTGTGGCTGATCAAGTTGCCATCTGAAATCCCAGATTAATAGGGAGGTCTAAGAAAAGCTAAATTAGACAGGCAAAATTCTTGTTTAACAAAGCTGCTGTTGGACAAGGAGGGTTCCCTTCCCTCCAGTGGATGCCTGACACTGATGCAGGGAGTCTCTTTTAGTCT